ATAATCAGTTTAAAAAAAGGAAAAGATTCCAGTAAGCCTGGGGAATTAGTGGGAAAGGAAAAGAAGGCATACATTGGGCGGGGGCGGTGTCCTAACATTTACCGACACCCACTCTGCGCTGAGCACTCCTTCTCACCTTCATTCAGTCCCCGCAGGAACACCACTGCGCAGGTATTTTTACCCCGTGTCACAGATGAGGAACCCGGGACTCAGAAAGTGAGACAGAACTGGGGTCTGACTCACCGGACACTCCCATCCTCTCCTCGCCACTGCCCTACCTGTGCGTCCTAGATCCTAGATGGCAGTGCTGTCTCTGAGCCCACTCCTCCCTGGCTGGCTGGCCACGCTTGCTCTCAGAAGGATCCAGACTCACAGGGGATGTAAAGGGCTTTTAGTGCCAGGGCCCGATGGGGCCTGGGGTCACCTGCCTCCTTGTCCTCCAAGCAGACAACCTTGAGCCACGGAAGCCGATCCGGGCCTCGTGGGGAGGCGGTGGTGCCTCCGGCAGGAACAACAGCGGAAAATCACTGGGCCTCCTTCTCAGGTTCCCAAAGGAGGGAGGGGGGGGCAGGGGAGGGAGCTGCAGGGGCGCCTTCGGGTGTTGCTGTTTTTGGTGCCTACACAGCTGATGGTTTTCCAAGCTGAGTAACACACACACACAAACTCCAGCCTCCTCTGGCTTAAAATAGAGCCGCCACGCGGAAAATGCCAAGCACAGGGCAGAGTCACCTGCCTGGCGGGCCCAGACAGCTCCCCTGCGACCCCAATAGCACCCATCCCCAGCAGCACATCTGACAAAGCACCTCTCAGCTGTGTGTCACGAGGTCCTCACAATCGTGGGGGGACAGCCAGCCAGCAACCCTCAGTCCCATCTTAGAGACGAGGAAAGTGAGGCCCAGAGAGGCGACAGGAAGGGGATAAAGCCAGTGGCATCTGGCCTGATGGGGCTGGGCATGGGAAGGATCAGGACTTTGGTGGCCAGACAGCCCTCCCTGAGTTCAAGTCCTGGCTGGGCCACTGCCTGGCTCTGAGGTCTTGCAAGCGGGGCCTCTTCTCTGTGCCTCTGCTTCCTGCTCTGGGAAGTGAGGGCTCCATCAGCATGTCTGTGAGTGTGCTGAGCAAGGACAAGTGTTCACCAGTTTTAGCTAGGCCCCTGCTATGGAAATGAACTCCTCCTCCTCCTCCTCCTCCTCCTCCTCCTCCTCCTCCTCCTCGCCCTCCTTCTCCTCCTCTTCCTCCTCCTCCTCCTCCTCCTCCTCCTCCTCCTCCTCCTCCTCTTCTTCTTCTTCTTCTTCTTCTTCTTCTTCTTCTTCTTCTTCCTCCTCCTCCTCCTCCTCCTCCTCTTCTTTTTTAAGAGAGAGTAGAAGGGAAGGTGAGAGACACACAGAGAGAAACATTGATGTGAGAGAGACACATTGATTGGTTACTTCCTGCATGCAACCTGGGCCAGGGATCATGTCTGCAACCTTGACTGGAATCTAACCCGGGATCCTTCAATCTACAGGCTGATGCTCTATCCACTGGGCCAAAACAGCCAGGGCTGGATATGAATTCTTGACATCTGTAGTCAGACCGTTGTAAATGGGGGTGGGGAAAAGTGGCTACCCACTACCAGGCACAGGGAATGTGACAAACTATATTTTATATTAGCTTCGACAAGGTCCTATGAAGCAGGCATCATTATCACCCCATTTCTCAGATGGGAAAACAAAGGCACAGAAAATCACAAGTGTTCTAGCCACAGACATCTTCCTAGAAAGTGAAAGAGCTGGAATTGAACCCAGGTCTCATTGCCTCCAGCAGTGTGTTCATGACCCCGACTTCAATAACTATCCTTGGTGTAAGCCTGATCCTAAGAACAAGCCTTCCCCACCCCCATCTGTCCCAGCAAGCTCTGCTCAGGCCCTTCTTGTGCTGTAGGTCCCCGGTGTCCTAACCACCCCAGTCTGGTACCGTAGCCTGGGTTTCTGCTCCTCTGAAATCTGGAAGGGAATCAGAAAATCAAATTTGCTGATGCCATTGCTAAAAATAAGGCTGAGGTAGCTAGTGCCAGCACCCTGCTTCTAGGCCACGGGCTGCAGTCCAGCTTCCAGGGGCTAATGGGGTGCAAGGCTCCCCCCTGCAGGCACCGAGCCTGATTCTGCTGGAGAACATTGCAGGGGAGGCTCTGGGTGCCATGTCCCATGGGTCCAGGCCATTGTTCAGTTGTGATAACGGTGATGGTGGCTAACACTTCTAGACAGGTCTTCAGGCTGGACACAGCTCTCAGAGCACCACATCTACTGGCTCATTTCATCCTCACAGCCACCCCAGTTGTTCCCTATTGCTACCATGACAAATTATCACAAACTTAGCAGCTTAAACAACACACACATGTATTTTCTTCCACTTCCGTGGTGTGGAGGGCTATACAGGTGGGACTGGGCTACAATCAACTAGGACTGCAGGCCGTTCTGGAGGCTCTAGGGAGGGGGTCTGTTTTCTTGCCTTTTCAAGATTCTAGAAGTTGCCTATTCTCCTTGGCTTGTGGCCCCTCCCTCAATCTTCAAAGCCAGCATCGTGAGGCAGAGTCCTTCTCATCTCGCATCTCTCTGGTTCTCCCACTTCTGCTTCCATCTTCCAGTTACAAGGACCCTTGCGATTGATCACATTGCGTCCACACAGATAATCTACGGCAGTGGTTGGCAAACTGGGGCTCGCGAGCCACCTGCGGCTCTTTGGCCCCTTGAGTGTGGCCCTTCCACAAAATACCACGTGCAGGCGCGCACGTACAGTGTGATTGAAACTTCGTGGCCATGCGCAGAAGTCAGTTTTTGGCTCTCAAAAGAAATTTCAGTCGCTGGACCGTTGATATTTGGCTCTGTTGACTAATGAGTTTGCTGACCACTGACCTAGGGTCATCTCCCAGCTCAAGATCAGCTGTTTAGCAACCTTAATTCCATCTGCAACCCCATTTCCCTTTGCGATGTCACCTAGTATATTCACAGTACCAAGGATAGGACATGAGCATCTCTGGGAGGCCAATATTCTGCTGGCTATAGCACCTAAAGAGATAGGAACGTTTAAACCCCATTTTACTGGTGGGGAAACTGAGGCATTGATTTCAAACAGCTGGTAAACAACAGAAGTGGGATATGAACCCGGGCAGTTGAGGTGTACCGTCCACGCTCTTAGCCTCTACATGCTATCACTGCTCCTTTCCCCACAGGTCACTGGTGTGTTTTCTGTGCCAGATCCGGGTGCTGGGGACACAGCGGTGAACAAGATACCTGTCCTCAGAGGGAACGCAGTATGGGATGCAGGAATCACAATGCAATGTGAGGGACACAAGATGGCAGGAGGCAGAGGCTGCTGGGGAGGAGTTAGGAAGAGAGATGATCAAGTAAACTGAGAGCAGGAGGATGGATAGGGCGTGAGCCGGCTGCACCTACAGCACAACCAGACAGCGATAATTAAGGGCATTAATCCTTGTAAAGTGCTTCCATCTGTGTCTGGCCCCTGGCAGGCATTCAATAAAGGCTGGCTGTTGAGTGGATGGGGAGAGGACAATTCCAAGCAGAGCAAGACTGTGCCAGGAGCTGAACATGTAGTGCAGGGGGGCTTGGGAGAGAGAGGCTGGAGCAGGGTGGGGAGCAGGTGGCACATGCCAAGGCTGCTGCCGGGACCAGGGGATGCAAGAGCTCCGGACAGCCGCAGGAAAGACTGCCGGGTGCTCTGCCCAGAATCTCCAAAGACCCACCTATGCTCTGAAATGAGTGTCGTCTTGGTGCTGGGGGCCCGGAGTGGATTTCTTGTGAGTGAGTGACGTCCTTGGGAAGCTTCCAAGCACCCTGCTGTTCAGGTCAAAGACCCAGGGGCCATCTGTTAGTGCCCCTTTGCCCTCCACACCAAGCTATCAGCAGGTCCCACCACTCCATGCACGAGGGTAGCACTGGCTGCGGTAACAGACTGACCCCATAATGCTGAGCCTTAATACAACAGAAGTTCAAAACAGGTGCTCCCGATGGGAGATGGCTTTGCAGGCTCCTTCCACCCTGTGGCTCTGTCCTCTGAAGACGGCATTCAGCCTGCGGGTGGGAAAGAGAAATGAAGCCTGGCGTGGGAAAGGCTTTTATGGGCCTTTATGGCCCAGGTCACATTCCATTGGCTACAGCTTCGAAGTGAAGTGAGTGAGGCTGGGAAATGTGGCCAGCCCTGTGTGCCCAGTTCCACCTCCCTAACCTGTCTCTGGCCCATCAGCTTTTCCCCATCTCCAGTGCTGCTCCCCTGGTCCAGGCCACCCTCAGCACATATTGGGACTACAGGTCTCCACTCTTAGCCATCTCCCCTTTTCCTCATGGCAGTCAGGAAAGCCCTTTTTAAAAATGTCCATCAGATCATTGCTGTATTTCTTTTCCTGTTTGTTGCGTTTCCGATTGTCCTGGAGAATAAATCCATATAAGGGCCTGTGTAAGGTTGCCTTTCTGTTGTCCTTGGACTCCCCCCTCCTCCAACCCTTCCCTCCCGGACCCCTCGGCCTCCCTCCCTACCTCCCCCCACAGCGCCCTCATTCTCCAGGCTCCAGCTTCACTTCCTAAAGGTCCTGCACTTGCTGCCTGGATGCTCCGCAGTCACCCTCCTGGAAGGCCACCCCTCCCCCCCCCGCCCCCTCCTTTCGCAGACCCAGGCTTTGGGCGCTTGGCTCCAGATGCCACTGTTTGCAGACACATTAGCCCCAGGGCGCCAGCGGGTAAATAAAGGCAGATGTGTGGCAGGGGCTGAGCAGCCGTAGTTGGGGCGGCCCTCCCTGCCAATTCGCGTCTCCCCCCCTCAACCCCCCCTCAACCCCCGGTCCAACACACGCGCCCCGAGGCCCCGCCTCTGGGTGCCCCACTCCAGCCACGCGCAGCCGGAGCTCCTGCAGCGGGTCCGGGCGCCGGCGGGGCGGAGCGGGCACCGGCGGCCGTCGGGGCGCATGGCCCCGGGCCGACGCGGCTGGCGCGGCGCGGAGCGGGGCTGCCATGGAGCAGCAGAGCGTGCGCACCGCCGCGCTGGTCCTGTGCATCCTGTCCTACCTGCTGGTGGGCGCCGCCGTCTTCGACGCGCTGGAGTCGGAGGCGGAGAGCGGCCGCCAGCGGCTGCTGGCCCAGAAGCGCAGCGAGCTCCGGAGGAAGTACGGCTTCTCGGCCGAGGACTACCGCGAGCTGGAGCGCCTGGCGCTGCAGGCCGAGCCGCACCGCGCCGGTCGCCAGTGGAAGTTCGCGGGCTCCTTCTACTTCGCCATCACGGTCATCACCACCATCGGTGAGCGCTCCGGAGCCCCCATCCCAAGCCGCGCGCGGTCCCTAGGTTTGCACCCCGCCTCTGCCCCTGCCCAGGGGGTGGCTTTGGACGAGGAGTCATTTCCACTCCTCAGAGCCGCACTTGCCTCCGGTGCCGGGAGGGCTGTCATTCCAGCAGGCTGGGCTGGGAGGAGTCAGTGGGTCCAGTTTGCCAAGAGGCTGGCGCGCAGGAATGCCCAGAAAATGCTCCGGGGATTGGGAGGCAGACCAAGTGGGACCTAGGAGCCCAAGCGGCTGAAGTTGCCTCCTCGGCTGCACCGCGCTCGCTGTGTAGCCTGAGACAAGTTGGGTGGCCTCTCTGAGCCTCACTTTTCTCCTCTTTGGAGTAGGGGTGCTAGCCAGCACTCTCTCAAGCCGTGGTGAGAGCATTATCACCCGGGAAAGAATATGTGCAGAAAGTTTCAGCAGGGGGCCTGGCACACAGAAAGCACTAAAAATAGAGATGGATTTCTGTGTTATAGCTGTTGTTCTGTTACTTCCTAAGACTGGGACCCTCATCTGTTTCAGTCACTGCAGCAGGGCCAGAGTCTGGCACATAGTAGACACTCAATAAATACAGGTTAGAGGGATGACTGATGAACACAGCTTTGGACCTCACCCTCGGAGATCCAGAGCACTTTCTGCGCAGCATCTGGACCGCCAGCCGTTGCCATGACCACCGCCTGGCTGGTACCTGTGGAGCCTAACTAAGCCTGGGGAAGCAGGAAAGGAGAGAAGCAGGCTCTGCAGGGCTCCTCGCTGGGTGCCAGCCGCCCCTGGGCCCCGGCTGTGGATGTGCAGGTGCCCCCCTGGAAGCCCAGGCCGTGGAGGGAAAGTCTCTGTAACGCTCTTGTAAGGGGATGTGAGCTTGTGGGTGTGGCAGCGGCATTAAAACCCGAGTTCTGCAGTGACATAGTCTCACGTCTATCGCCGTCCTGCTTCTCTGAGCCTTGGTTTCCTCAACTCCAAAATGCAGTTGTTCCTAGCTCACTGGGGGGGTGGGGGGGTTGCCAGGCTTAAATGAGGTCAAGCAGGTAAAATGCTTGGCACAGTGCCCGAGGCTAAGGGGGCCCTGTTAATTAGTAATAATGACAATTCATTGTTTGCCAACTGTGGGCCCAACTCCCATTCAGCCCTTACGACCCCTCCTGTCAACATGGGCATCCCTGCTTCTCTATCTTGGCTCAGCCTAAGGACACCTCCTCGTGCTCCTCCCCACCCAGCCCTGCCATCACTGTGCTGGGTGGTGTGGGACCCCATCTACCTCTTCTGCTTTCCCGCGCATTCTTTGGGGGCCTCCCAGCTGTGTTTGGCCTCCTCTCCTGGTTGTTCTCCTCCCTGCCTGCCCCTCCATCCCTCCTGCCCCCCATGCATCTGAGAGCCTGGGGAAAGGACTACAAGGGGAAGCAGGAGTTTTGCCTTTTTGGCCGTTTGGGGGCGCTGAGTGGTGCGGGCTGCATAAGGCCGCCTTGAAGACAGCTGGAACCCAGGAGCATGAGCACTGCAAGGACAGGAGAGAAGCGACAAGGACAGAGGTGAAGAGCTCAGGCCTTGTGGTCTCTGGGCAGCTCCATCCCTCTCATCCTATTTCCTTCTCTGTGCGATGGGGACCGTGTCATCTCATACAGTCCAGAAAGGGTTAAATGATAACCCATGTAAAGTACCCGCATGGTTAGCTCTCTTTATTCATGTCCCTCTCTGCCAAAACCCTGGCACAGCCCCAGACAGCTGGAAACTGCCTTCCTGGCCTCTGATTCCCAGAGAGGCCCCTCTGTCTCAGACCCCCTTCAGTTTGGTTTGATTACATTTTCGTTGACCCCTAAGCTTATCTCCAGGTGCCCTACACCAGTTGAGGGGACTGAGTGGAGGATCACTCCACCAGACGAAGGAGGTGTTTAGGGAGAAGGGGCTTGGAGCAGATCTGGGAAGGAGAGTGGACTGGGGCAGGGCAGGTAGGCATCGGTGGTGGAGGTGGTGGTGGTGGTGGTGATAGAGGTGGTGGTGGTGGTGATGGAGGTGGGAGCGGAGAGAGGAGAAGAGGCATGTTGGTAGGGCATGCTGGCTGGGGAAGCAACAGGGGGGTCTGCAGAGGTGAGGGGGATTCAGATCACAAAGGAGCTCAGACACCATGTGAGAACTAGTTCTTTACCCGGTTGAGTACTGGGAGCCACGGAAGAGTTTGCCTTTTTTAAAAAATAAAAAATAAAAACAATTTACATACAGTAAAACCCACCATTTCAGTGACAAATGAAGTCCAGCCAGCCGCATTCGGGACAGAACAGTTCCATCCCCCTCCAAAGTCCTGCACGCCCTCCGCAGTGCCCCACCCTCCTCCTCCGTCTCAATGACTGGCCACCACAGATCTGCTCTCCGTCTCAGCCGTTTTCTGCCAGCGTAACATTTAACTGGAATCACACAGTTTGTGCCTTTGGAGCTTGGCTTCCGCTTAATACATGTGAGATTCGTCCCTTGTTGCTGCAGATAACCGCAGCCCGTTGCTTTCTATCGCTCCGAAGAATTCCATTGTATGGATGCACTTCGGGGGTTATGTATCCGTTTTTCCAATCAAGGGACATTTGGGTTGTTTACAGTTTGGGATGATAACGGTAAACGTGCAAGGTTTGGAAGGCAGAGAATGGCCTAGACAGGTAGAACTAGCATTTCAAGTTGCCCAGCCCGCTCTGGGGGATGGGAGGCCGAGGGTTACATACGGCCTTGTCAGATGGCACTGGGTACTCACCACCTCCCCCTCCACTCTCCCTCCAGGGTACGGCCACGCCGCCCCCGGCACGGACTCGGGCAAGGTCTTCTGCATGTTCTACGCGCTCCTGGGCATCCCCCTGACGCTGGTCACCTTCCAGAGCCTGGGCGAGCGGCTGAACGCGCTGGTGCGGCGCCTCCTGCTGGCGGCCAAGCGCTGCCTGGGCCTGCGGCGGCCGCGCGTGTCCACGGAGAACATGGTGGTGGCCGGGCTGCTGGTGTGCGCCGCCACGCTGGCGCTCGGGGCCGCCGCCTTCGCGCACTTCGAGGGCTGGAGCTTCTTCCACGCCTACTACTATTGCTTCATCACGCTCACCACCATCGGCTTCGGCGACTTCGTGGCGCTGCAGAGCGACGAGGCGCTGCAGAGGAAGCCGCCCTACGTGGCCTTCAGCTTCCTCTACATCCTCCTGGGGCTCACGGTCATCGGCGCCTTCCTCAACCTCGTGGTCCTGCGCTTCCTGGCGGCCAGCGCCAGCACCGACCCGCCCGAGCGCGCTGCTTGCCGCGCCAGCCCTCCCCGCCTGGGGGCGCCCGAGAGCCGCGGTGCCGCCCTGACCCGCCGCCCGGCGCGCCCCGGGGGCTCCTCCGTCTCCTACCGCGTCCACCAGCTGGAGATGTGCGCCCGCGACAACCTGGGCTTCTCGCCCCCCGGGAGCCCTGGGGCTCTGGGTGGCCTCGGCGGGGCGGGCAGGCTGCCTGCCCGGCGGAAGTCCATCTGACAGCCCTACCCCATTGGGGTAGAGGGTTTGGGTTAACCTGTCAGTGCCCCACTCTCCCCGGAGACTGGGGAGGGGAGAGGGGCTTCAGTTGCAGTGCCATCTTCTGCCAGAAGCAGGTTCGCGTTCCCTTCTGTGGCCAGCCCCTCTCTCATCTCCAAAAATATATTAAAGTCGTGTCATAAGAAGCACAATTACGATTCTAACGTCACCCAGGAGGTGCAAGCCCCTGCAGTCCAAATTGTCTTAGGGAGGCGTGGCCATACTACCCAAGCCTCTGGAGTGGACACAGGTGGCTGTTCTGCTGCGGGAGAGCCAGGGTTTCGTGTTGCAGGGGAAATGCACGGCTTTGGAGACTGGAGTCCCACCTGTGAGGCCAGCTGCTCACACCATGAGACGCCGGGAAGGACATGGACTGATGGGAACGGACCCGTCTGCCGCCCAGCGTGGACCAGCGGGCAAATAGCTGCCGTCTAAACGATCTTGCTCTCTTGCTCAGCATGTAGAGAGGAACTGGCCCAGGTGGGACTGAAACGCGTTCTCCCCACCCAAGCGGATGTTGTCTGTCCTGGGCCAGTCCCACTTCGGGATAAGGGGGCCTTGCTGGCACCCACCACTGAGGCCGCCTGGAGGCGACAGACTGCCATGAGAGCAACTCTTGTCTGGGAGTCGAGAGATCTGGGTTCTGCTAGCCCCCTCAATGTGACTTTGGTAAATCCCATCCCCTATCTGGTCCTCTGTTAGATCTCATCTGTAGAATCCTGCTCCCTCCTATGTATCCCTGGTTCAGGATCAAGGGGGGCATCACAATAGGCCATGGTGGGACATGCGGACATCCTGCAGCACCCAGCCCCTGCCCGTAGCTTCCCAGGCAGAACACACAAAGCAGAGCAAGACCAGTTAGAAAAGCCAAAAACTTTAATCGTCAACATGAGCTACATGGTCATGAACACAATGCAACGTGACCCACTCCAACCCAGGGGCCAGAAACCCTCCCTTCCCAGAGGCCCGGGCGGCCCCCCCACTCCAGGAGAGGAGATGAAGGGGAGGGTGGCGGATGGAGAGGCCTCAGCCTGAGGAGCCCGGGGCCTGCCTTCCTGCCACCTCCTCGGGAGGCAGCTTAAGAGCGAAAGGGCTCCAGAGCTGCTGTCTGAGGCCCTGGGTTCAGGTCTCCTTGTTGCTCTCACAGAAGCCATGATTGAAATGGACACGATCAGCCTCCCTACGGGATTTGTGAGTCAAGATGAGCTCATGGACATGAAAGCTTCTCATCACGGAGGTGCTGCCACACAGACACGGGGCCCTCCCTGAGGGCTGTGGGGGTCCTCACAGGGAAATGGGGGACGGCCCGGTCCCCAGGGCCTGGCACAACGCTGCTGCTCAATAAATAAACACAGGTGGCCTTGCCTGACGCAACAGCTGTGCTCCACGGGGAAGGGGCTACGTGCTGTTCTGAACCGGCAGTGTGCCCGGGAGCTCCTGGTTTAAGGACCTGCCTGGCTAATCAGCTTGCAGAGTGCACAGCCACCCCCGAAACTGCTGTACTTACCGGCACAGGGAAAGCTCGAGCAGCTGGGAGGACTGAGTTCTGGTGTGTGCTCAGCCACTAGCTCACAGTGGGACCTTAGCAGGACGTTCCCCTTCCAGGGCCTCAGCTTCCCTCTCTTAAAACTGGGCTGCTAAGGGACCCCCACCTACTGCCCAGGGGATCCTCTGAGGGTAAAAGCACTTTGAAAGCAAAAACAACAGGAAGATCAGATATTACATCTGAAGGCTGTGTGAGAATCTCACCCCCGCAGCCCCCGCCAGGAAGTGAGCGTCTTACCTCCCTCAAGTTAGTCCTACAGTTATGGCCCCTCAGCGGGAGCCCCCGCCCAGTCACCAAGGCCTGGACCAAACCCTCAGCCAGCTGGGCCAGACCTTCAGGAAAGCTGGATATCTAAGGCAAACCCAGGCCCAGAGAGATGGAACCAAGCAGGAGTGGGTGACCCAGGGCTTACAGGCCATAGCTACCTACCTGGAGCAATGGTCTCCTGTCCCGTGAAGGAAGGAAGCACAACGGAAGGAACCCTGTTCTGATTTACTGAGGAGTCTTGGGCAAGTCACTTCCTGATCCTGGGCCTGGTTCCTCGCCTCTCAGGTGTGCTACCCTTGGCCCTCTCATCTTCTCAAGGCCCCTGGGAACCTCCATTGAGAGGGGAGGACGAAAGGTGATGAGAAATGCTGGTCCCCCTCATCCTGCCCTGGCTCCATCCAGTGCAGCATCAGGTAGAAGGAGGCCCACTGAGCTCACAGGTGCATTGCTGCACGGGCCTTGCTCTCCCGTCTGTAAAATGGAAATGGCTTCACTGATGGTCCCAGAGCCCCTTTCCCTTTCGTATGAAAACCAGATTCTGGAGGAGACTAACTCCCACGCCACCGCTGCATGTGACCTTTGGACCAAAGATTGAAAATAAACTCGGTTCCCCCAGAGACCCAGCTCCTCCCCACCCGACTCCCCCCAACGCCGCCCTCTCTGATCCTGTCCGAATGGGGGAGCTGGAGCGGCGAAGGCTCCGACAGCCGTGGGGACAGAATGCGCTTGGAGATATAATGAGCACGGTCACCCCCACCCCAAACCCCTATCCCCAGGTGAGGACGCGGTGATTCCCACGCTAAATGGAGGGTCAGAGCCCCTTGGGAGGGGGAATGTGCTCACAACGATGATACAAAGAAAAAGGGCTCCAGCCCCCACCCACCCCACCCCTCCAGGAGGTGAGCTGAGATTTCACAGAACAAGAAAATCAGTGAGGGGGCCCTTGGGGGCACCCCCAGGATGTTATTGCTTTGGAGCTCTCTCCCTCTTCATGCATGCTGCGCAGACACCAGAGGGTGGGCTCAGGCTGGGGAGCACCAAGCCTCTCTCCTTCTGGCTGGGACAGCAGGCTCCGCCCCGTCTTTGAAAACTACCCCTGTACAACCGGAGCCGTGACAGCCGCAGAGAGAGAAGGTGCTCTCCTGGCTCAAAAAATTCCAAATGGCGAGTAATAAACAGAGAAATCACACTGGTTAAAACACACACACAGTGAGGGGCTGCTTCTGGGCCTCAAGATGCGAGTCCATCCAGAGCCCAGCTGCCTCCTGACCAAGTCTTGGGGTTCCACCCCCACAAACCCCAGGAGCTCTGAAGGCCTCCTGGGTGAAGGAGCCTTTTCATCACCCCTTCCCAATGCAGTGTGAGGGCTCCATGGAGGCAACTGAGCCCAACCAGACTTTAAAGGATGCCCAGGGCTCAAGCAGGCTGGGGAGGAGAGGAGGGACGAGAAGTGGGGGTTGAGGTGGGGCTAAGGAATTCCAGGTGGAAGGATCAACCTGGTCAGTAGCCTACAGTGGAACCAGGGACAAGGTGGGACTGGACACAGCTGGGCATCCTCAGAGGAAAACCACCCCTCCTAATAGCGTCCAGGCCCCCTCCACCAAGGCCCACATCCTCAGGAATGCTTCATAAATAAAATCAGTACCAAAGGATAATAAATCAGAACGTCTGAGTATAGTGGGCAGCTCCAGCTACAATCCTACAGGGGGAGGTAGGGGGAGGTAGGGGGAGGAGGGCTGGCCTCCTGAGCCCAAGGCCCAGACCAGCAAGGAGACTGTGGCCTCCTGGAATGTACGTGTGTCTCCCCTCCACCCCACTCCGGGACTCTGGGAGAACTACGTGCGAGCTAAGGACAGGCCCCAGGGCTTAGAACGCTAACTACCCAGCTACCCTGGACTACGCCCTACACAGCAGGGACTGGGTCATGAGGGGCGGTGGACTGCTGGGTGCCTCCCAGGGGAGGTGGCAGAAATGTGCTTCTAGAAAGAGGGGCCGGCCCAAGTCCTGCCCAGCATGCAGAAGGGGTTCCGTGGTCCCCGGGGAGGGCTGGGCCGGCCCTGCTCCAGAAGGAATCTCACGGTTCTTTGACTCCTACGTCCTCTCTGTCTCTCCTTGAGCCAAGGAAACTGAGGCCAGGGCAGTGGGTTCTGCCCTTGTACACACGGTTTATTTAAAAAGACTAAAATGGGGGGATCTGTGGCCTCTCCCGGCCCCGAGCCTGGAGGCAAAGGGATAGGCAAGGTGACTTTTGACCTCGTCCAACAAGAAGGGGTGCTCCTATGTAGGAGACTCCTCGCCTTGGCACCACCAATCCCAACCCCAGCTTCCCCTAGATTCCCTCTCCGATGCAACACCCCAACACGCAGAGACAGCGAGCCCTCTGGGCTTGGGGTTCTCAGAAGTGAAGGTCCCACAGCTCCTCCACTAAAACCCAGATGACAACGTTCCTTCCTGACCCACAGTTTCCACAGCGACTTGTTTCCATCGCACAGAGCCCGGCACCCAGGGGCCTGGGCACCTCCTTTCCTTTGGTCCCTGCTGGACCCCAATTCCGCTGGAAGAGAGGCAGGCAGGAGGGGACGGACAGATGGACTTGGACAGGCTGCGGTGAAGCTTCTTCCACGGGCAGGCGGAGGGAGGCCGGACGGAGCTCCTCTTCGCGCGGGGGGCCCTGGGCCCCTCGGAGCTGGCTCCGGATCCTTGCAAAGCTGCCCCGTCAGCTCTGGGGCAGGCGTAGCTGCCTGAACCCGGTGCCGCAGGAAAGACACTTGCTGGTAGTTGGCACCACGGAGATGGCTGCTGGGTTCTGGACTTGGCTCCGGGGAGCGAGCTTCCGAGGACGCAGAGAGGGGAGCCGTCAGACAGTGTCTGGGGCAGGAGAGTGGTCTGCTCTGCCGCCTCAGTCTTTCCCTTCTTCGGATCGCAGCCACATCCACCAGGTCAAGAACCGGCCAAGTCAAAAGTGCAGCCAATCCCACTGGGAAAGGAAAGGTCTCAGGGGATAGGAGGCAAAGAGGGGTGAGGAGGGTCCCAAGGGGGGTAGGTCTCCCTATTCTGCTTCCCCACCGTGGGGAGAACCCCGTCCTCCTCTGTCCAAGATGCCCCTGGGCCTGGGGTCCCAGGCTGGGGCGGGGTGGTCTCCAGGCCATCTCAGGGAGCCCCTCCCCGTGCCTGGCACTAAGACTGCTCGCTGCAGGGCCCCACGGTGCTCTCGAGGGACAGCTGGGATGCTTGCCGGAGCAGGGGCCCCGTGGCCGGGTCCACCATGGAGGAGGTGGGGAAGAGCTTGTACCAGCCCACGGCCAGGGTGGTCAAGTCCAGCTCCTCCAGCAGCACGCGGGCCACGCCCATGAACTGCTTCCGCTCCATCCGTCCATAGTTCCCCCACACGATCACCTGTGGGGCAAGAGACACAGGGCTCCCATCATCCCGTCCACTCACAGGTCCACAAACAGACCCTGGGGGAACCCTTATGCCCAATTCTCCTCCGAGTCCTGTGGATTCAACCACCTTAACAACTGCTCAACCTTAAAATCACTCAAGTTCGACCCTATCATCCTGACTCCATACTTCAATCGCTGTTCGCCCAGATGGCTTTCTGCCTCCAGTCTCGCCCTCTCTGTCCCATTCCATGCTCCACAGGCCCCATCTTTGGGTCCAAGTTGAAGGCTGACCCTACATCCTGACTTCCCTCCCTGCTTCCCCCATGGGCCCTCTGTTTCCAAAGCCCCAGAATCCTCTTTGTGAAACCAAGTTTAAAAAAGTGGCAGGCACGTGCATAGTATCTGGATGATTTTCTGCTTGTTTTAAATTGTATTTGAAGGGTTTTTGCAGACTTTGTGCCATGTGTCCCAACCCAGGCTGGGAATCAAACCTGCAACCTAGGTTGGTGCGCCTGACCTGCCCTTGACCAGAAACCCAACCTGCGACCCTTCAGTGCTAGGGCTGATGCTCTAACTCTGAGCTTCACCAACCAAGGCTTGGCAAACATTTTTGACAGGGATCATCCTTAGCCATCCACACATGGGCTTCACAGCTGAAAGGAGTGTCCCACGAAAGACTTACCTTGCTATAAGTGAGAAATGTTTTCTCTCCTATCCATTCCATTGAAAAACACAACACAAAACTGCTGAGACCAGCTAAATTGAGTTCACAATTCACTGATGGACCTCAACCCACAGGTTGAAAAAAACTGTCACAGACAGTTTCTCAGTTTAGCAAGAGTCCCACTGTCTTGGCAACTGTAACACCTTGGCCCCAGCCTCATTGTCTCTGCCTGCCCAGGTGAGGAGCAAGAAATTAGGTCCAAGCCACATATGCCCAAAAGACAGCACCAAGAGGACAGGCTCCTGCAGGCCTCTCACCTGGGCCCGGCCGGTACCCACCCACAATGGGCAGCTGTTTCTTGCTCCAGGTCTCAGTCACCACTAGGATGCTCCTCGTGGCCAGAGGGCCAAACACATGTCGGGATACTCAAAAGGCTCCCCGTTTATTATCATTGAGCTTCAGGCCAAACTCTGGCTTCCAGCTGCTGCTGCTGATGATATATAATGATTATGATGATGGGAGCCATTTGTAGAGGACTTACAATAGACTAAACTTGCAAATACTTTTCTTGCACAAAGCACACAACTTACAGTTACTGTCACTATTATTAGTAGGTATTACTAATGTCCCCATTTTACAGATGAAGAACCGGAGGCTCAAAGAAACTTGTTCAAAGTTGCACAGCAAGTTGTGGAGCTCTGATCAACCACAGCACTCTGGAATTCCTGTGAATTCCCTTGCAATAACTCCAGGGGAGGCCCTCCCCAGGGGCACCTTCCTCTCCCTCTAGTACAGTGCATACACACACACACACACACACACACACACACACGCCCTCACCTGCAGGACTTTGCCCTGGGGACTCTCAGGGAACAGCAGCACCTGGTTATACAGCGGGTCCAATGACTTGCGAGCGACTTTGGTCTTCTTCTTGGCAATGCAGACGCCATTCTCCAGCAGGTAGGCCTTGATATAGGCCGCTGGGAACAGGGGGCAGCAGGGTGAGTTGCAGTGTGGGCCTCCAATGGTGGGCACAGGCACAGCACGAGGAGGCTGCCTACCACCAACGGGGATCAGAGTGCCTCCTTGAGGCCGTGGGAGGAGACAATAGGACCAAGCCAGGTGGTAGGTGTGGGTGGTAGGGTGCAGCCAGGGCTGGTGGGGCCTGTTCCACCCCCGCAGGTGGCCCCCCACCTTCCCTTGCTCACTCTGGACTCACCTGTTTTCTTTCTCTGTCACTGACTCACCCTCTCCTTCCCTGGCTTCTACATTCATCGCTACCTATTCACTGAACAAATGTTTTCGGACCTCCCACTGTGTGCCAAGCACTCTACTAGGCACCGGGGTATAATCATAAGCAGGGGAGACCTGGCTCCAGAGGCTGGTGTGAGCTCATCCTGACCAATCCTTACCTTGGTCAGTAAGGGGTGCTGACAAGGTCAGCCGAGAAGGTCAGCTGACAATCTCAACTGAGTTCCCAGAACAAACCCTGAGTCACCAGTTCTTTGTGAGTCACTAGAGTTGAGACAAAGGAGTCCTCCACAGTGGGGCTCAATATTCTCTCCTCTAGACTCATATATCCCTCCAGACATGCTCCCCAACCTCCACCCCCCCTTGCAGCGGGCAGGGCACACCACACCTGGCAGTGTCTTGGAGCCTGGCTTGGCCGTCAGTCCCCGCGCCTGGATGATGTCCACTTCCAGCTGACCGTTCCGCTCCTGCAATCCAATCTCCACGTCCCCTGCAAGAGGCCTCAACAGATGAGACTGGGAAATGGCTTCAATAGAGGGCTCAGACCTTCCTATCTGCTTAGGGTTAAATCCCTTCCTCTGGTCCCAGCTCCAAATAACTCCCACCCCACATGCCCAGGCTCCAGCAAATGCAGTCCACACAGAGGGGAAGAAGAGGTGACGCAAGCCTTCCCATGGGGATCCCCCCACTTAGGAACAGATCTTGGGGCACTTACCCATCGGTGTGGTGGCCAGGGTCTGGCGGCCCACAAACTGCGCTGGCCCCATGCTGCCCAGGAAGTCACTGAACTGTGCATCTGATGCCAGGCAGACGCCCCCGTAGTTAAGGCTGTAAGAAGGCAGGATGAGATGAAAACAGTTGTTCCCAGGGGCCAACCAAGGACTCAGATGACTCAGGTAGTCAACTCTGGAATGTCCCTCATGCCACAATGATTCTGTCCACATCCATCACCCTGTCTCAGGCAGGCACATGCCCTGCCTCTCCTTCCCTTCTATCTCCGCGGCCCTAAGTTCTCCTGTACCATCTCCTTATCTCTCCTCGCCCAGCCTTAGGTTCCACCTCTTTGAGATGGGTAAGGTGATACCTGCCTCTTGAGGGGGTTGTAGGCATGTCGGGAGATGGTGGTTGTCGGTGCCTGGCTCCTATGGTTTAAGGCCATGATACTCGGTGTGGTCCAGGGACCAGCATCACCTGAGAGCTCATTAGAAACTGAGCTGGGCTCCTCTCCACACCCAGCTGCCGAATCAGAACCTGCCTTTTAACAGGACCCCAGAGGAGTCATTCGCACCCGACAGTTTGAGATCCATGGGCTGGACCTTGGAGGTCTGCATTCATTGCTGTTGCCCAAAGTTTATCCTGTTCCTTTGGGAACAAGATCTCAAATCTCCTTTGGGGAGCCCCCTCCCCATGGTATTGATTCCCCGGAGTGGAGCAGACCTGGCTCCAGAGGCTGGTGTGAGCTCATCCTAACCGATCCTTCCCTTGGTCAGTGACTGGCTCAAAGGCAGCTGTGTGGCCAATTTGGCCACAGGAATCTGGTTGGGAAGCTTCTTTGAACTGTAGGGAGTGAGAAGCTCTTTTCTCATCCTGAATAGGACTGCAGCCTTGGGCAGCTCTCTTGCTGCCACCTAGAGTCATCAAACTGGTGGCACTGCGTGAGCTCCTGGATCAAGTTCTGTCTGCCTGAAGCAAAAACTACTTTTTTTTTTTTTAAGCTACATAAATCAATAGTAATAACAACAACAACAGTTATAATAATGTCCTTTGCTTAAGCCTATTTTCGTTAACTTTCTCTGGAAGGGGAGTAATAAAATTCCCATCTCCTAGGTCTGAGCCGTGTGAATGGCCTATTCTCACAAAGGGCCTCAAACTACTAGCAATCTAGTCCTGGCTGCTCAGCTCTTCCTCAACCATGTGAGCCACCTCAGCATCATTCTAATCCGGTTTTTACTTAAGTTATCGGCAGAGTTGCTGTAGGATAATAATTTCACATTTTATCCTGTGTGCTTCTCATTTTCATATATTTACATATGTATATATGCTTTACTGATTTTTAGAGAGAGGAAGGAAATTGGGGAGATGGAAACATCGATAGACTGCCTCCTGCAAGTCCCCCACTGTAGATCAAGCCCACAACCCGGGCATGTGCCCTGACTGGGAATTGAACCAGTGACCTCTTAGTTTCTTGGTCAATGCTTAACCACTGAGTCAAAATGACTGGGCATAATTATCATGATTTCCTACCACTCCCTGACACCCTTTCCCCATCCAGGCTGTAGCCAGGAAACAAGACAGTCAGATTCCGGGCTTGTGAGCTACAAATCTAAAAAGAAACAGACTTAGAATGATAGGTGCAAAGCTAGGCTGCCCTGCATCCAAATAAACAAGCAAACAAAAAACCCAGCCTGGGAGAGCAGAGGTCAGGGTGGGAGGGGAGGGCCAGGGAAGCAGGAGGGTCTTTGAGGAAGGCCTGGGTCCCTGAGCTGGGCTGGCGATCTGCAAATCTGAAAGCAGAGAGGACTGTGACAGTCCTTACTGGGTGGGGCTGAGCAAAGGGCGCAATGCTTTGCAGCAATGGCTGCTAGGTATCCTGTGACGTGAAGCTGTGAGACCCTCCGTGCCCCAGAGCGGAGCACCTGTTCCTGCTGCATCAAGAGAAGACCAAACCGAGACAGAGGCCGAGTGGCATTTGAATCCATGCAGTCGGACTCCTGAATCTCTTAGCTCAACCATTATGCAACAGCATCAGAGAGAAAGTACGGGGAAAATAACGTAAATACCTGGAGACAGAAATGAGTACCTGTTATTCTTGTAAACCCAAAGACCCTCATTAACAGCACCACAGCTGAGACCCAGGCTCTCTCACTCCACACCCGTCTCTCTCTTTCCACCCCAACCTCCTGGCCATCTGAGGAAAGGGCTGGGGGCTCCAAAGGCCTGAAAAAAAGTCAGTGCCGCTTAAATTCCAAGTCACCGAAGGGGCCCAGCCTTCAAGCAGAGCCTGGAATTGAAAGTTTCCTCCAACATCGTCATTGTGGGCTCCTGGGTTCCTGGTGAGATTGTGAGCAGACAATGGGGAACTGGCAGGCCTGGTAATTAGCAGTAATTGTTTATAATATCTGGGCGGCTGCCTGATTTCCCATCCCAGGGTGCCTCGCCGGCTGCCAAGGAACCAAGCAGACGCCCCAGAAACCCTGGACGGGTTTGAACAGGTTAGCACGCGCTCCATGGGGCTGGAGGAAGGAAGAATACGGTGGTGGCAGGTCCCTGCTGGCCAGAGGGCCAGCTGCACTGGAGACCCCACCCCACCTCGGGGTCTTCCAGGAGTGGGACGGGAGGCAGTGCATGCAAAGTCAGACCTGCTCCTGCGCCTCCCAGCCAACTGCTGGCAAGCTGGTGGTGTGTCTGCACTTGAATCCTCTTATCTGCAAACAAGGCCACACCTACCTCATGGGCAGTGCGCGGCCATTCCATGGGTGGGTGCCAAAAATCTCTGCTCATTGCATCCATTTGCAAAAAGCGAGTTGAATTATTGCCACATACAGGCTACTACATAGACTATGCCTGGTGTGCAGTAGCAATCCAATAAATGTTCCCCTGCCACACCCTTCAGCTGGTCCCAAACTGGGAAAATATAGTGGTTGAGACTGGACTTTGGCATACTATAGACCCTGAATTCCAGTGCTGTGCACCCTCTCTGAGCGGTATGAAATGGGAATAAATTGCAATTGCCTTGTTGGGGAGAGGCAGTGAGATAATGCAGGCAAGGCTTTATCCAGGACCTGGCAAATGGAATAAAAGATTGAGATACTGTGGCCTGCTACCCAGACTGGAAGAGCCTCATCTCCCTCTTTGGCATTTTCCTGGCATTTCTGATCCCAGACCTCTTAGGAAGTGCAACATCTGGATGCCTGGGCCCAAGCCCGGGCCTGGGGTGGGGGGCGTGGGGGCTGCAGCAGGTGGGTCCTCCCGGAGGGACATGGCACACAGAGGCCTGAAACAGGATTGCAACCCGTTCTCTGCTGGCGTTTTATCTTGAGTTAATGGTGAAATGAGATTATCTGCATTTCAAATCCTGTTAGTTTTGTTTGAGGAGCTGAAACCCATTTGTCTTTTATTATTAATCTTCGACCTCTATTTGGCCCTGGATTTTCCATGCTCTCCATGGTCAGAGAGGTAATCAAGTTATTGGGGCTTTGACTCTTTTCCAGATAGATCATCTGTCCCAAAATTGCATCTGAAGTTAAAAGGCTGCACAGCCTTCCTGGTTCGGAAAGGCTTGGGCGGTTTATGAGCTCTCTGTCCGTCCATTCACCACCTGTCCCACGTCCACCGTCTGTCCACCTCCCCACAGGCGTGCTGAGCCTATCATGCAGTCAGTTCCACCATAACATGAAATATATTTTCCTAAAAATTACTCTGTCTGCACAATCCTACAATAAAAATCAGAGAGCTTGTGGGGAAAATGGGGTTATGGCACAACACCCAAATACTATGTCAGTATCACAGCCAAAAAAAGAAAGACAGGACATAGTAAAAGAGAAAGACACAGCCAAAAAAGAAAGACATAGTAAAAATGGTAGCACAGGCTTGCACATGTTGAATGGTTAAGAAATGCAGAAATACTACGGTAAATATGGTGCTTTACTCTGAAGATGCCCTGAAGTTTGCTTGTGGAAATGAGTGTCAGAAGGACTGCAGCCTGGGAGTTAGTGTGAAGGGGAAGGAGGACTATTGAAATGGACAGAAACACTGGGTGTGGATGGGATAACACATGGAAGCAGGTTATGTCTAAGGTATGTGCGTGTGTGTTATGTTTTCCTACATGGAAGCAAACTTTCTGTGTTCACCTACTGTTTCTTGTGCATGAAGTCGTACCTGAGCGAAGGCAAAATGTGCTCTATGCTAAATCATTCCCTAATATTTCAATTGTGTTGGAACAAATTCACATTTTCAGAACAAGCGTTGTAGCAGAATTCATTACAGGCCAGGATACACAGCTTCACGCAGTCCTGACTGCGGCTTCTCCAGCATTCAAGACAATTCCAAACCTGCCCGTCCCCTCTTCTCCCCACACCCTGCCTGCTATAAGAGTATGGCTCCTGGGCACGAAGCCAGGGATTTTATTTATTTTAATCTATTAAAACTCTGTCCTGAGCCAAGCACAGATAGTACAAGGTTAGCAACATTAATGTGTTTCACTCTCATTTAACAACTCAATGGAAGTTAGGTACACATTACCAACATCCCTTTTACAGACGGGAAAAATCAAGTAACCCAACCAAGGGCTATGGCTAGTAAGTGGGAGACCCGAGGAGTCTGATCTAGAGTTCATCTTCTTGTTGTTGATGTTATTAATCCTCACCCGAGGGTATTTTCCCATTGATTTTTAGAGAGACTGGAAGGTTTGGGGAGAGATATAGAGAGAATAAGACACTAACTGGCTGCTTCCTGCACATGCCTGATGAAGGTCGAGACTGCATCTGAGGATATGTGCCCTTGACTGGAATTGAACTCAGGACCCTTCAGTCCGAAGGTTGATGCTCTACTCACTGAGCAAAAACAGCCAGGGCTAGAGTTCACCTTCTTAACCAGTTTGCTATACTGTCACTATGTGCCCTGAGGGGACCAGAGCTTTGCCCAGAGCAGAGTACAGGTATTTGCAGTCCAAACTTTGGGGTCAGGCAGGCCTGGATTTGAATCTTGACTCCCCACTCACTAGTTAAAACACACCTCTCAGAGCCTGGGTTTCCTTTTTGGTGAAGTAGAAATAAATACTATCTCTAGAGGTTCAGGGTAATGACAGGCTGCCCCCTCAGTACTGTTGTAGATATTATTATTTTTAAAATATATTTTATTGATTTTTTACAGAGAGGAAGGGAGAGAGAAAGAGAGCCAGAAACATTGATGAGAGAGAAACATCCATCAGTTGCCTCCTGTACGCCCCCCACTGGGGATGTGCCTGCAACCAAGGTACGCACACTTGACCGGAATCGAACCCAGGACCCTTCAGTCCGAAGGCCGACGCTCTATCCACTGAGCCAACCCGGTTTCGGCTGTGTTGTAGATATTAATAAGAGAAACACCTCCGGCATAGTCAAAGGCTCCTCAAACACTAGTGTTACTAAGCCCTGCCTTCCATCTCACAGCCACATCCAGAGCTGGTTTGTCCTTCGGACTCCATGACTGTGCTAACTGCAGGTGGGGAAGGGGGTTCTGACAACCCACCCAGCCTCCTGGGTCTTTGGCGATTAGCAAACAGCCTTGGCAGGAATGAGCCTCTGAGCCCGGGGTCCAGGTGGCCCTGCCATCCGCTCACACTCTGCTTTCTAGAGCTGTGGGCACTGTGACCCAGACACCCAGGGAACTGGATGCTGATGACCCAGACACCTCAGGACAACCAGAAGCAGAGGGAAGGAGCAGGAGGGGTGCTGGTAGCCAGCTCGGAGAGATTGTTACAGAGAGGATGCTGAGGCCCCGAATCTGTGTGATGAAGGAGACTGGGAAGGAGGGGGAAAGTAAAATGTGTACATGCTTCACTCATGGTACCTACCCATCATTACACAAAATCTGCAGTATACCATCTGTGGGCCAGGCCCCCTGGTGGGTAGGCACTGAACTCAGTGTCAAGGGGGACAGACAGACACACATGTGACAATTACCACAGAGTGGTAGGTGCTGTGATGGATGAAGGAAGAATGAACTAGAAGCTACTGATACAGTCAGAGGAAGGGCAGACCATGCTGTTCCATTTCCCCTGCCCACGCCCAGGGCAGACATTGCTAATCAACCTCAGCACACCTGCCAAGCCTGACTGGGCTCCAGAATCCTTCTCAACACAGCACTCCGGGGAGCCACTATCAATTAACTGGAGCTGGCGCATGAGATGAAACTTATGTGCCAGTTCTTAGCTCAGGTCTGAAGGAGGGTGAGTCAGAGGATGCAGCGGGAATAGGGACAGGAAAGGGGATGTGAGGAGGAGGGAGCAACGAATGAAAGACCTGGAGGTGAGACAGGGAAGGGTAAGAGGTTCAGGGTGCTGGAGTGGCAGCTCAAGGCTGGGGGCTGGGAGAGGCAGGCAGAGGCCGGAGGAAGTAAAGGTTGAGAGGCAGGCTGTGGAGTTCGAACCAAAGGAGGACTTGCAGGTGTCCAGGCAGAGGTGATAGGCTCCTCCCCAGGGGAAGGGATGGGGAGAAACGGATGGAATCGAGAGATAATTAGGAGTGAAAGAATAGAGCCCACGATGGGCTGGATCTGGAGTGTGAGAGAAGGGGAGCCATCTAGGAGAATCGCAGGTTTCTGGCTTGGCCAGCAGGACCTGGTGCTGTGCTCTCAGGTAGGGGAGCAGACCGCCGACCCCCCCAATGCCTCCCGGCCCTCACCACGTCACACTGACTTCTAACTGCAGCACATGCGCTGGTCTGGCCCTGAGGACTGTCTCTGGCCTCCAGAGGCCCCAGTGTGCAGGAAGGGCACAGGGTGAACCAGAGAAGTCGTCAACTAGCAACTGATGAGTCTGAGTATAAATACTTCACTCCCTCGGCTCCTGCGGGTGCCTCTCAGGCTCATGCTCCTCACTGGCTCCGAGTCCGCCCGAGGACTGGACTCGGGTTGCCCACGGTGGCAGCTGGTGTCTCAAGGTGCAGTTATTACCGTCCCATCTCTCTCATGCGATCCTCCGCCATGGTTATCTGGACTCCCCTCCGATGACCTACCGGCACTCGAACCCATGTCTCGGCACGAGGAACCCAGTCACCAGGGAGTATCTCAGGATTCAGGGGGGTCCAGGGAGATGCTGTTCTGCGGCCCTTTTTCAGAAGGCGTGAACCCTGTTCTTTGGGGGAGATGGGCCAGCTGGTGGGGGTGCTTGGCTGGTTGCTAAACCCACAGCCATTCCCTTCTACCTCTGACATTCACAACCTCATTTTTCAATGGGGCAGAAAGAGGCTCAGAGAAAGAAAGCCCTTCCTAGCTTCAGGGATGAACCAGGATCAGTCCAACCTACTGAGGCCTACGGAAGCAATGGATGGAGGGACTCGGGGCCCTTGATGGCATAATTTAGCCATCAAACCACCCTGGAATCACCTATCTCCGGAAACAGATGCATCCATTACGTAAGGGAAAGAGTCCAGTGTAATGGTTAAAGGGCAGACTCCAAATACCTAGATTTGAACCCCAGCATCTGAAGCCACTTTCTGGCTGTGTGACCTTGGGCAAGTTAATTCACCTCTCTTGGCTTCCATTTTCTTGTCTGTAAAATGGGGAGAGTAACAGTTCCCACGTCACCAGGTTGCTCTGAGAACTGGAGGAGTCGTTTTGCGTAAAGGCTCTTAGCACAGTGTCTGCCCACAGCCAGTGCTCAGTACGTGTTCTCTCTAGAGCATCACTGTTGAGCCAGTGCTGCTCCATCTTAATGTGCCCACGAACCCCCTGGGGCCGTGTTAAATGCAGACTGACTCAGAGGGTCTGGGAGGGAGCCTGACAGGCCACATTTCCACTCGGCTTCCAGGGGATGCCAATGCTGAGGGGCCGTGTCCGGAACCGCGAGGGCCGAAGCCACTGTAACCCAGTACAGTATAATCTGGAGCCCAAGGATCTTCACTAACAGGCAGCCCAACCCACATGCACCCCTTTCCCAGCCCCAAGGCCTGGGTAGAATGCAACATTTCCCAAGTTCACAGTGCCTGTCCTCTGCAAGTTCTCACCACTGCCAGTTGCTTCATCAGAAGAAGGCAATTGTCTTGTACATTGTAAGTCCCCAATCCCATTTGCTGAAATGAAAATCCACATGGGAGCACCCCTGTGCCCACCTGCAGGAATACACAGGCCCGGTGACCCAGTGGCTGGAGCAGACAGACCCAGAAGCGCCGAGGGCCGCAGGCTGGCAGGGCTGCTCAAGCACCCTGGCTTCCTATAAGCCTCGGCTGGGCGGCAGGAGCTCAGGAGGAGGATGGTACACCCCCTCCTGTTTCAGAATCTGGAATCTGGGTCCTGCCAGTGCCCAAAATACCTCCCGAAAAAGGAGGAGGCTAACCACAGCTCAAGGTCTCTACCTGTCCCTTCACCTTCCTTTCCTCGCCCAGGTGTTGAGCAGGCTGGCAGCACCTGGCTGAGCTCAGCCCCTCTCAGGCGGCCAAGACTCTGCCCTCTGCTGGACCCCACATCCTCCAACCCACCCAATCCTACCTCAACTGTGCTCAAGACATGCACCCCAAATCCCCTTTTAAAAAATACATATATTTTTTATTGATTTCAGAGAGGAAGGGAGAGCGAGAGAGAAATAGAAATATTAATGATGAGAATCATTGATCGGCTGCCTCCTGCACGCCCTACACTGGGGGATCCAGCCTGCAACCCAGGCATGTGCCCTGACCGGGAATCTAAACGTGACCCCTGGTTCATAGGTCGACGCTCAACTACTGAGCCATGCCGGCTGGGAATCTAAAACCTTTTAATAATTATAAAGCCAACATTTATCCTGTGCTAAGCCCTTCATAGATATGATTTGTTCAGGGTGTATCCATTAAGATGCATCTGACCTTGAGGAACAAAACATCCAAATTACAGCAGCTACGTCAGCAACAATCATGACAACGAATAATAACCGCACTTGCTATGTGTCAGTCATTGTTCCAAGTGCTTTCACACACATTAACTCACTTAGTCCTCCAACAGTTTATTACCCTCCCATGCTGCTTCCCTTTGGAGACAGGTGTGTGGCACCTCCGAGCCTTCATCTCCTGTTCTATGAAATGGGAGTAGGGGTTTGGCTTCCTGCTCACGGCACCGCACTACCCTCCCGTGGCCTGGTCCTCTGACGAGATGTTTGCTGGCCTCCTGGTGTTTCGGCAGGCCAGGGGACATGTCCACGGCCACTCGGGTAAGTGGCAGAGCCAGGACTAGGACTCAAACCTCCTGACCCCCTGAAGCTCAGCAGGGACCCACTACTACCCAGCTGCCCAGAGTATCTTCCTCTAAGTTGTGCTGCCTTGCCAAGCTTCTCAGGTTAAAGAAAACATTTGTTCCCTTCTCCTCCTCCTCCTCCTCTCCCTTCCGTCGGTCCTCCTCCTCTTCTCGCCCTCCGGAAAGTCTCTCTAAGGGGTGGGTGGAGTGGCAGCATCTGCCAAGGTGAGGCCATTCACAGAGGCCAGAGAGGCTCCGTTTAGGAGGGGCTGGAGGTGGAATGCTTTCAGCCAGCAGGAACCCCCAGCCGTAAGGCAGGGCCGGAAATTTCGGGGAGCCAAGGTGGAGGCTGAGCACTGTCGTATTCTCTTTATAAAAATGTACCCATTTAGTCTTCCTAAGTCAGTATTTATCCTCATTTTACAGATGAGGAAACTGAGGCACAGAGAGATGACCTGACCAAGGTCACACAGCCAGTGATGGTGGAGCCAGGATTCAAATCTAGGCAGTCAGGCACCGGAGTCTGGCTGTCCTCGGTCTTCCGCAGAGCTTCCTTGCTTTGTTGCCTCCCTTCTGGAGACAGGACAGTGTGGGAACCCTCGGCTAATGCCCCTCAAAGTCTGAGACCCGCCTGCCCCGTGCCAGGGAAGACCGAGAGCCCAGAGGCCTGGGGGCAAGCCGGGCGCACACTCACTTGCCCTCCGAGCCGTAGCTGTTCATGCTGTCCTCGATGGACTCATGGCTGGTCTGGCGCAGCGTCCGGCTGGGCATCTCCACTGCCAGGCCTGTCTCCGTGCTCCTCTGAATGGCCCCCTTCAGCCTCCGGCTGTCCCCTTGTTGGCAGAGAGGCAGGGTGGGAGAGGACAGAGAGGCGAGACATCTGGTTAGCATTTCAGTGGCTGGTGGTGGCCAGCTTTGGACCCACCCCCAACCCATCAACCTTCTCCTACCACTGGCCTCACCTGCACCCAGCCTCCAGGGGGCAGTCTCATTCATACCCACCCCATAATCAGTGTCACATGTGTTCTTTCTCTCTTTTTTAAAAATATATTTCTATTGATGTTTAGAGAGGAAGGGAGAGGAATGGAAACATCAATGAGGAGAGAGAATCATTGATTGGCTGCCTCCACACCTCCTACTGGGGATTGAGCTCGCAACCCAGGCATGTGTCCTTGGCCGGAATCGAAACTGGGATCCTTCAGTCCGCAGGCAGACACTCTACCCACTGAGCTAAACCGGCTAGGGCACGTGTGTTCTCTTACCTAATAAATTAATTTACATGGACTGTCTCTCCCCTTTGAATTGGAAGTCATGTCTCCCCTGCAACCTTCTCCAAATCCTTTCTCCTCCTCTTCTTCAGCTACTATGTATTGAGCATCTACTACGTGCCATCCTCTTGTCAACCCCAGCACAACTGGCAGTTTAGATGGGATGCTGCTTTGTCGTCGGGGATGTCCTGTGAAGTGTAAAGGTCTAACGGTAACCCTGGCCTCTACCCAGTGAATGCCAGGGGCACCCTGCAGTCCAGCGGGGACAATCAGAAATGCCTCCAGACATTGCAAAGCATCCCCTGGGGGCAACAGTCACCCTCGCTACAGGACCACTGATTTAGGCCACTGGCTCTGAAACCCGACTGCCCAGGTTCAAATCCTGGATCTTTCCCTCATCAGCTGTGAGGCTTTGGGCAAATTACTCAGCCTCTCTGTGCCACCATCTCCCCACCTGTAAAATGGGAGAACAACAAGGTTTTCATGAAGACAAGCCATCTCCTGCCCTGGCTATTCCCTCTCCTTGGGCGACCACTGTCCCACAGCAGCTCAGTCCATGGCCTCCTCCACTCTGTGGTGGCATCTCACCCTAGCCGGGACCCTCCCTGACCACCCCCTGGCTTTCTCTGCCCTGTGGCCGTGCAGTGGCTTTCTTCCCGACTTTCTTCCAACACAAGGCGCATTCTTGATTGACTGGCTGGCTTTCCCCACAAAAAAGGTAAACTCCGTAAGGGCACGGAGCTTTGTTTTGTCCGCTGCCGAAGCCCCCGGGCTGAGAACAGGCCTGGCCACTGCAGGTGCACAGTTAAAACCTGTGAAGGAGGGTCCGCCTGAGAATGGTCTCCACCCACCCACCCAGCGCCCCTGCGGACATGCTCTGGCTCCCCCTGCTTCAACACCGAGGACACGCGCTCAGAGGTAAAGCCACATGCTCACATCTGTAGAGCCAGAAAGGGGGGAGCCAGGGTTTCACCGGGGAGGGTCTGTTCGCTCCATGCTCCACAGCCTGGTGGTCTCGGGGAGCTTTCCGTCAGCCACCACCCAGCGGGACGGTGGCTTTGTCTTCTGTGGGATCTGCCCCACAGTCTGGGGTGAGCTGGCACACCTCAGGGGCTTCCCCATTGCACGCCCCAAACCCCACCATCCTGCGTGGAGAGGACAGGAGCGCTGGATCTGTGTACCCGGAGACTGGGCGGGACCAGGATGCCTGCCGCTGGCCTTCTCCAGCCTCCCTCCTCCCAGCTCAACCATGGTGCCCTTCTAACACTCTAACTCAGATACAGGAGCTCTGTGGGTGTTCTCAGAGTGTGCCCACATGTCTGTCTCCCACATGTATCTGTGTTATTCAGATATAGTGCACATATACTCAGAAAAACACAGTAACACACACGCATCCACAGGAATATACGTGCAAAGACACGGTGTGTCTGAATGCCCCTATTTGTGTTTCTGTGGGCTTCACAGACCTATCATGCTGTTTCTGAGGCCCCCACACACAGGCGCATACCCATATACGAGATAGAGGCCATCCCACTCAGGAAAGCACGTAGGGAAACTGCCACTGCATTTCTGCATGTCATCCTGCGTGTTTCTGAACACTTCAGGAACCAACTCCCCTGGGTGCCAGTGCTGGGGACAGAGCGAGAGCAGTGTGGTCCCTGCCTCCGAGGAGTTCATGGTGCGGAGAGAGGCAGACATCAAACAGATGATCACATGGATTAATCACAAGTGTGTAAGGGCTCTGAAGACAAGTACAAGATGTAATGATAACACCTATTGTAGGGGGGCCGGGAGGACGGGGGGTTATGCTGATTACTTCATCCCTTGAGTAGTCACTTCAGATCCCTCCTTCTTGGGCCTCTGTAATCATGAGTTCTAGCAGGCTTCCTCCTGTCTCTGACCACTATGACCCTCCTGTATTTAGGGCCTTACCATTCTGTCTCTGGATTCTTTCTCTCCTCTCGATCCTCCCCCGGTTGATTTCATTCCCTTCCAGCAAAATGAGGACCGTCCAAGGTGAATCCTATGCCTCAGCTAGGTGAATCTATAGCCCTCAACTCTGTCAAGAGCAACACTTCCAACTGCTCTATGGACATCACCACCTGGATGATGAGCAGGCTCCTTGGATGCAAGCTAGCCAAAGCCACACCCATCCCGGCTCCCACTTTCTCCATCAACTCCTTCCAATGTGTGTTCCCAACCTGGCCAGTCACCTGGACTCAGGACCCCCAGGACCTCTCTGACCTTTCCCCTCTCCCATCAATACCAGGCCGTACAAAGTCTTTGCCCTTAATCTCTCTTACGTCTCTCCCATCTTATCCCTTTTCACAACCAACCAGCTTCAGTACCTCAAGTCTAAACTATTTTAACAGCCTCCTAACTGGTCTCCCTGCTTCCACCCACCAAACACGCCATTAACAGATTAACTGACTAAGTTACCAATAAGCTATCTCACCCTAACTAATTCACTCTACACCAATAGTCACAAAAATACACAAAGAAGCGCATGAAGAAGTCCCCCACGGTATCATTTACACCGATGAAAATGCTGGAATTAACTGCCCACCCACAGGGGGCCAGTTTACAAAAGGAAACACCCCACAGGAGAACACTGTGCAGCTGTGAAAAAACAAGCATGCACATCCACGTTTACAGTAACAAAAAGACTGCCTCGACACACTAAGCAAAAAACAAAATACGATGTGGAATGGAATGTCAGACCTAAGACTGCTTTTGTAAAGCTACGGAATATACGTAGCTTTGTGTAGAGACACAGAACACCAGACTCTTGGTGGGGAATAGCTGTAGGGAGAAAGGTTTTTAGAGGGGAGGTGTGGAAGGTCATTTTGAAACATTTTCATTTAAGTGTAAGATGATTGAGAAAAGAGCAGAAACCTTCAGTGCGTAGCTTGATGGATGTTCACAAACTAAACGTCCTCAGGTAACCAGCACCCCAGTGGAGAATCAGAGCTTTACTAGGACCCGCAAAGCCCACTGGTGTGTCTTCCAGGCTCTGTGTTGCCCCACACGGGTAGCCACTGTCCTGATCTCCAACACCAGACACTAGTTTTGCCTGGGTTTGAACTCTATATACAAAGCATGGCCTTTTTGAGGGGGAGGGGAGCATCTTCTGCTCAATCTTTGTGGATTATGAGATCCATCCATATTGTTGGACGTAGTTGTAGGCTTATCACTGATGCTCTGCAGTATTCCATGGTATGAATATGCCACAATCTATGTATCTATTGTGCTGTTGATAGGTATTTGATTTTTTCCCCCAAGTTTGGGTCTATCAAGAATAATGTTGCTAGCCCTAGCTGGTTTGACTCACTGGATAGAGCATCAGACTTTCGACTGAAAGGTCCTAGGTCAGTTCCAGTCAAGGGCATATACCTCAGTTGCAGGCTCAATCCCCAGCCCGTCGGGAGGCAAAGAATCAATGTATCTCTCTCACATTGATGCTTCTCTCTGTCTCTCTGTCGTGCCCCGGCCGCCCCCACCTCCAACCCCGGCCTTCCAGTCTCTCTAAAAATCAATGGAAAAATATCCTCAGGTGAGGATTAATAAAAACAACAAAAAGAGTAATGCTGTCGCCAAAACCAGTTTGACTCAGTGGATAGGGTCCCAGGTTCTATTCCGGTCAGGGGCATGTACCTTGGTTGCAGGCACATCCCCAGTAGGGGGTGTGCAGGAGGCAGCTGATCGATGTTTCTCTCTCATCAATGTTTCTGGCTCTCTATCCCTCTCTCTTCCTCTCTGTAAAGAATCAATAAAATACATTTTTTTTTTAAAAAAAGAGTAATGCTGTTATAATTACTTTACTGCATGATCTGGTAAACACTTGTATCCAGGTCTCTTAGAACTATATGTAGGCCCTGGACAGTTTGGCTCAGTGGATAGAGTATCAGCCTGCAGACTGAAGGGTCCCAGATTCATTTCTGGCCAAGGGCATATGCCCAGATGGCAGGTTCAATCCTCATTGGGGGCCATGCAGGAGGCAGCTGATCAATGATTTTCCCTCATCATTGATGTTTCTATCTCCTCCTCTCTGAAATCAATAGAAATATATTTTTAAAATAACTAGTATATTTAGGAGTGGAATTGCTCCTACAAAGGGCAGGCATTCATTCAGCTTTAGCAGACATTGCCAAATCATTTTCCAAAGTAATTGTACCAATTTATACTCCAACCACACCCCGGGGTGACTTCCTGTTTTGTATGCTTCTATGTCTCTTGAAGTTTTAGAGGTAATGGATTAATTCTATAATGAAAATGAAGGTAAAATACAAATCCTATATAATAAAAGCCCAGTAACCCAACAATGGAAGGACCAGAATGATGGATTGACCAGTCACTATGACGCACACTGACCACCAGGAGACAGATGCAGGAGATGCCCCCTGGTGGTCAGTGGGCTACCACAGCGGAAGCACCACTCCGCTGATCTGGATGAGTGGCTGCTCCTGCTGCGAAACCTGGGCTGATGGGCCCCAGGCGCCTCCTCCTCCTCACTCCTTGCTGCCTCCACCTCCAGACCAAGGCACTGCTGCAGGCTCGCAGAGCTG